GTGACTCTATGACCTTTAGGTCAATTGGTTGTCACCTGGACTGTTGATTCAGTAGAAAATGAAATGAAAGTCAGTTTCATAATAGTAGTATTAGATTAGGAGTAGTAGATTGATGGTGTTTTTCCTAATTTTTAGTCATTTGTCATTTATTCGTAACTTTGTGGTCACAGTATCACCTCTACTCTTCTTTACTTAATTTTTTGCTTGAAATCATATCACTTCTTTGTTTAAATAAATTCACTGTAAAAGAACATTTTCTTACTACCATCAATAGAAACGGGTATTGTTTGCCACGAACAGGAATTAACAGTTAAAAAGAAGTACAAGGGAAAGAAAATAATATTTTTAAGACTGAATAATATCCCGTTCTAGGTATATACCACATTTTCTTTATTCATCTATCAATGGACATTTAGGTTGTTTCCATATCTTGGGTGTTGTAGATAATATTTCATTAAACACAGGAGTGTAAATATCCCTTTGAGGTCCTTTGAATTTCCTTTGAGTATATACCCAAAAGTGGGATTGCTGGACCACACGGTAGTTTAATTTCTTGAGGAACCTCCATACTCTTTTCCATAGCAGCTGCATCATTTTGCATTACCACTAACAATGCACAAAGCTTCCGTATCTTTGTGCATGAAGTGAATAGAACAGTACTTGACACAGAGTAAATTTTACAAATAAATAAATGAATGAATGAGTAAATGAATAGTAAATAAACAATGAATTAAACATTTTGATGAATGAATGGATGCAAGGAAGATTCTTGAAGAGGGAATGTTGTTCTCCTGCAATTGTGCTTAAGTGGTTCCCTCCTTGATGCTGTTACAGCTTGAAGAAATTTTTACATTTTATCTGTGAATCTCTACACAAAGAGCATAATTCATGTAAAGTTTAGGGTGTGTCTATTCTCCTGCACTGTGGAAGAAAAATAAAATCTAGAAAACTGTAAATGTAATCTATGAAACCCAGGAGGGCGTTTTCCTTAAAAAGTTTTGAACTTGGCAAGAAAGAACTTCTGGGTGATCTGAGGCATAAGGAAAAGACAATAAATGCATACTGAAGTTGAACTCAAGTTATTACATGCAAGTGGTCCCGAAAGCTCATCCTCTTTGAGACAGTGCTGAGGATCCCAGAGTCATTTTTGATGGTCAGTTACACTGTTGTCGCCCCTGTTTAAGATACTGCTCATATTAAATGAGAATCTGAGACCTTATCAAAATCTCTCTTTACTTCAAAAGTAATTATTTAGGGGCCAGTTATTTCTTTGGGAAAGGGATATTAAAAAAGTACGTCCTGCCTCGTTTTTCTCATTTACAAAATGAAGTGATGGTGGAAATAAATGTCTCATAGAAGTTTTTGTGTGACTTATAAATATACCTGAAAATGTTAATTCTCATAATTGTCACTGTAGCATGTGTTTTGAGGAAGATTCTATTATGAATTCGAGCAGATTGCAATTCTTTTGGAAGCAAGGTGTGCACGCGAGCATACATTTGTGTGTGTGTGTGTGTGTGTGTGTGTACACGTGCTCACTGAGATGTAGTCCTGAGTTGGGGACAGAAACTGTTGCTTCAGAACCTGATGGTCCTTCCACACATAAAACGTAACCCTACCCGCTTCTTTGCTACTTAAACGTTCACCCTGAGAGGGGTGTGGGGTTTCTTATTATCTAAACCAGTTTCCAAAATGGGTGATTGTGTTTGGACTCATGCAGCTCTCCCTGCACTTCCTGACCCTTTCAGGTGACTTATGCCTTCCTCTTTGCCCTTGGTGGATGTTTAATGAAATGACATTGCTGAGTTTGAGGCTAGGGTGGACTACTCTTATATAATATCTCAGTAGAGGGTTAGAATAAAACCTACCCCCATGAAAAGAAAGAGGTCCTCCAGTAGGAGATGACTTTCGGAGTTAAAGATTCTCTCTGCTGAACTTTTGCAGAGTTAGTCATTATTAGTGTTTCGGACGGTGAAGAGCGGAAGCTTTGGGGTCAGTTTGCCTCATCTGCAACTCATTTGTGCCATCTTTTAGCTGTGGACTTGGGTAGATGAGTTTAACCTTTCTCATCCCCAGTTTCTTCATCTGGAAAATACTGATAATAATATCAGTCATAGGATTTTTATGAAGATCAAATGAGATGTCCTATATAAAAATATTAAGCAGAGTGTGCATAAATGTAGGGTGTAGGCTCAATAAATGTTGACTCTCAAATGATTGTTTTTCATTGATTCAGCTCATCAGTAAGTCACTGATAGGTGACTCATGTCTAGCTGGGAGCTGCAGAGCTAAATGGATTAATTACAACAACAGATAATAGAATACAGCTTCATGCAGCAGACATGGGAACAGAGAGAGGGAACAATGAATTCACACTGAGGTCAGGGCAACTTTCCCAGAGGAAGTGAACCTTGAAGGAAAAGTGAAATTTCCCTGGAGAGAAGAGACAGGAGAGAGAGGCATTCACCGTGGAGAAGCATCATACACGTGAATTTGTGGGTGAGTTTGGTCCTTTGTTCAAGTCCACCTACATTCATTGAATTCTCGCTATGTGACAGGCTCTGGGTTAGATTCAGGGGGCAAAGTGGTGAGCAAAAAATACACCGTTTCTGCCCTATGGAACTTTTATTCTAAGACAGGCGCTGAACCGTAACCCGTGTAGCCATAAGAGGTCTGTGAGGGCAAAGATGTCATTGGATCGTAGAACCTTGAGACGTTGATTTGATGGGGGCTGGGGGGTTGTCCATTGGGGCTCTGCAGGTAAATGAGATTTAAACTAAGACCAGCCGGGCGAGTGGGAGTGAAGTAAGGAGACCATGGGGAAGGCTCTGTGCCGGGAGAATCATGGTGCCTCCTGGGAACTGAATAAAGGCCAGTGTGGCTGGGACATAGGATGCTCGGGAAGGTGTCAGAGAGGAGCCTGGTGAGAGCTGTAAGGAGGACCGCAGGGGGCTTTCATAATCATTCTAAGGATTTGGGCTTTTGTTGCAAGTGCAAAAGGAAAGTCATTGAAATGTTCTGTTTTATGCCCAGAAACGCTGGAGTCAGAACTGCGTTTTAAAAAAACTCATCTGTGCCCCTTAACCCTCACTTGTCCGAGCGCCTCTGTTCATGTTAAGCCTCCTTTTTCCTGTTTCACCAAAATATCTTTGCTTCTGCCAAAGCTACTTCCTTCCCAAAGCTGACTAGGGTTTTCAAAAGAAAACATTAAAAAAAAAAAAGAAAGAAAGAAAAGATCATCTGGATGCTGTGTTTACAGTGAATGAATGGGGTTAGGATAGAAGTGGAGAGACCAGTAAGCAGTTATGGCAAGATGTTAGTGGCTTATATTGTGGTATCAGCACAGAAATAAGCAAAAAAATAAACAGTTGCATCTGGTAAACTCTGAGAGACTTGGTGCAGTTGGGGAATGAGATAGGTAGTGTTTAGCCACTAAAGAGTTTGCAGCTTTTGGGAAACAGTGTTATCTGTTTGGATTACTACAACAAAAATACTATAAATTGGGTAGCTGATAAACAACAGACATGTATTTCTCACGATTCTGGAGGCTGGGAAGTCCAAGGTCAATCACAGGCAGATGCAGTGTCTGGTGAGAACTCACTTTCTGGTTTCTAGAAGGCGACTTCTTGCTGTGTCCTCACATGGCAGAAGGGACAAGGGAGCTCTCTGGGGCCTCTTTTCTAAGAGCACTAATCCCATTCACAAGGGCTCCACCCTCACGACCTAATCACCCCAAAGGCTCCACCTCTTAATACCATCCCCTTAGAGGTAGGCTTTCAACCTATGAATTTGGGAGGGCCACAAACATTTGGTCCATAGCAACTGTTGTGATATTTCATGCTAAGAAATTTGCACTATCCTATAAAGAGAGCCAGTGGAGGTTAAGAAGCAGGGAACTGAAATCATCAGGTTAGGATGTGCATGGAGAGTATTTGCTTCTCTCCTCACCTACTTCCTGAGCCAAGCATTTATTGAATTTAGAGTAGCAGATGGGAGACATGGCATGACATTACTGATGGCAAAGACTGATGGGAGACACATTCTTTTGTATAACACAGAAGAGATAGACTAAGTTAGTGTGAAAGGGTTATTTATCTTGTAAATACTCTGCCCCAAGCCACCTAAACCTTCTCTCCTGCAGGACTCAATGATCACAGCCCTGGAGTGCAGCAGGGGATCTGGATGTAACTGAATGAGAGATGGCATTTTGGAAACACAATGAGCCAATACCCCTTGTGGGAGGGAAACGGTTCATAAAAGAGTTAGAGGGAGAGAGGGAGGTGAGGAGAATGGCTAGTGGGGAAAGCTTTCCCCTACTGTTAGGAAGGTGATTACCATGCAGTAATTTCAGACCCTAAGGCAGTGGCCCCATAACCATGGAGAAGCCAGGAGTAAGTCAGAGAGACTGGAGCAACACCTCACCTACCAGCTCTCTGTGTTGGAATATATGACTTCAACCCTGAGTAGAGGGGCATCTTTGAGAATCCTGAGACTCTATCTCTGATTATCAAAGGGTGAGATCATCTCGTTATGAACCAGACCACCTTTGCCTTCTCTTCCTCGGGGTCTCTTCCTTCCTTCCTTCCTGTGTTTAAGATGCTTGCACTGGGAGTACTCTGAAGAGACGGGGTATTTGAAAGTCTGTCCGCATTGATGGAGATAAACAGGATGACAATGGAGAAGGCAGAGTCTTTGACAGGGGTGGATAAAAAACTAAAAACATAAAACAAGCGTCTACGTCTACGAAGCTTTGAGCCTGTGCCTCTTAATAGGCTTCAAAAGAAAAAAATCTAAAAAGGGGAGGTAGTTTGTTAACCTTCCTTGCTAGGCACTGAGGATGACACAGAAATAATTCATCGCTTTCGAATACACACTCTTCTGTCGGGCTGTGTTCGCCTGGGACGCGCCTTCTGCCTTCTGTGCCTCCACTCAGTTTGATGGTGCTGATGGGAAGCTTTCTTTCCGGAGCATCCTCATACTCACCATCGTTCATTTTTCAGGTTACAGAACTCAACAACGTGAAGAACGTAGCTCGGTTGCCAAAAAGCACCAAGAAGCACGCCATAGTGATTTATTTCAATGATGATACCTCCAAGACCTTTGCCTGTGAATCAGGTTTGTCGGAGGCAGGGAGGGCTTTGGCTTTTCGTTTCTCAGCGGGCGCTGGGCATACATGTTAACCTCTGGACATTTCCGCAGATCTTGAGGCTGATGAATGGTGCAAAGTTCTCCAGATGGAGTGTGTAGGGACGCGAATCAATGACATCAGCCTTGGAGAGCCTGACTTACTGGCTACGGGGGTTGAGAGAGAACAGAGTGGTACGTAAAGAGAATTCTCTCCTTTGCTCTTTTCTAAAACTGTTTTTGTCCCCATGTAATGAAACATGGGACATCTTCATGATGTAAAATTTTTAAAGGTATAAAAATGTATGAAGAAAGAAGTAAAAATAACCTTTTATTTCACCTAAAACCTGAGCAGACATTTCAGTGTGTTTCTTTTCTTAACATGTTTTCAACGTATAATGGGAATGTATCTACATTAATAATATCAGATAGAAGTTATGGGGAACCTGCTGTGTGTGTGTCAGTTTTGTGCGGAAGATGCGTTGGACCGTTTAACTTTCCTGGCAGCCCCATGATATAAGTACGATTACTTCTCCATTTTACAGATGAGGAAATTGAAGCTTAAAAGAGCTAAAGATCTTGCTCCAATTCCAATAACTACTGTTTGATTCCAGACTATACTTTTGAGCCTATATTTATAGTGTACAGATTTGACAATGCAATGGGTTCTTGTCTTGCTTTTTTCACTTAAAATTTTTATCGAACACTTTCCAGTGTTTTTAATAGCATCCAGACTTCATGAATGTTTCATCAAGTTTAAACCCACCTAAATCTGTGGTATATTTTTTTAGCTCTAACAATTGAGCCAGCTCTTTAAGCTCAACACTCAACCTGGGAATACGTCATTATAAATAATAATGACTGAAATATTCATGAACACTTCAACAGAATCAATGTTGGTTTGCAGTATGAGCTTGGAGGTGAGGAATCATTTCTTTGGCTCCAAATAACTGGGCCTTGTGATGGGATAGATGGGATCCCATAGTTCTACTCTTAGCCTGTTGACTTGATCTATGAGGATATATCACAACCAAAGAGGCCGTGGGTCACCTGGCTTGATTACGAACATGGCAGAGGTGGAATTGTACTGACCCTTTCCATGGATTCACACTCCAGTTGTTAGTGAAAAAATGCCCTTTCTCCAATTGGAACTATGTCTTCATGACACATTTACGGTCGGCGACTATTTTGGAAGCCTCGTATCTGCCAGAATCCATCTCCAGGGAAGTGTTATTGACAAAGTCTTAGAAGTGCTAGCTGATTCAGAGGAGCCTCTTTGCAGACTGGGAAATTGAGCGGCAGAGAGCTTAATTAAGTCCTTTACCAGGGTCATACAACCAAGCCCCAAGCTCCTCCCTCCATAGTTCACTAACTCAGGATGCTCTTGGACTGCACGGCACCTGTAGTGCCTCACCGACAAATGCACATGAAGCCAAACATAAAGAGGAAAGCATGACAGGTTTTGATTATTTTTTAGAGGGCTCAGATCAGCACTTATTTTTCACGTTTTATATTTGCAAAGCTATATTCAGATAGTGCTCCAAACTGAATTCAAGGATTGCCTGTGCCTAGGAGTTACTTTCTGGTACCAATTTTCTGTGCCGCAGTTTCCTCTTCTGTCAAATGGGAATAAGAACACCTCTGGTATATAACTACTAGGGATTATAATTAAACTCAGCTCTGTCTTTTAAGGCACTTTACAAGATTAATTGTGTGACTTCAAGTAATTGTAACTAAAGTAGTCACTCTTACCACTTTTGCTGTTTTTCTTGGATAAGGTAGTTTATATGGAAGAACTTCCAAGCAAAGAAATTGGTGATGGTCTCTCTTACTTTTTGCTTGATGATGACAGTCTTTCTTACTTGTTTCAGCACTCTCCAGGGAGAAATTTGCTCCACTAGAATATACTCTTAAAATAATAGTTATTAGAAAGCAGTAAATATTTGGTTACTGGGAGTTTGAAGTAACTTAGAAAACTTGAAGAATAGATGCTTGAATACATTTGTGAAGACAATCTTGACACTCCTATTTACTAAACTGAAGTCTATGGAAATTCTAATGACTTCCTTATTATAAAACAATTAATTTAGAATACCAGTGATATTATTAGTGCCACACTATTTTCTCAGATGTAGGCAATCTACCATAACAATGGATAGATAAAAGCGTGTTTGCTATAGTAATAATATTTCTGTTCATATTTCACTTAAAATTTTGACTCTATAGCTTCCTAAATTAATGAATTTTCTAGGAATGTAATAAAAATACCATGACTGTATCTGAGGGGATGGAAATTCAGTTGCAATAATAAGCCAGGTAGTTTATTCAGAGTAATCTTGGTTAAATGTTAACAGTCCTCCAAATAAGCAAATGAATATTTCTTTCCGGTATTTGGCTAAAGAGAGCTCTTTGTTAAAACTAGTTCAAATAGATCCACTGGAATTTTTCCAAACTGTTGGTCAGTTAAGTGCATAGTGTTAGTTAGTATTAGTTTATTTAAATAATTTGGGGTAGAGTTGTGTTCCTTTAGTTATGAAAATTATAAATTGATCAATATAATTTTAATATCATTAAACCATGCAACAATTATTTTGCACCTGCATCTTTTGTGAACACAAAAGTGTGGGTGTAATTAACATGTACTTGGCAAGAAAAAAATTGTTTTTAATGGTTTCATTGCTTTAGTCTTTTACTGGCATACAAATTTTTATTATGCAAATTAAAAAATTCTAAAAAGATCTTTGCTCACGTGAATAGTGTTGCATGTATGTTGACAACCAGACTGTATCATTATTATGTTATTTAATATGGTCTTCATTTAAAAAAATCATTTACTGGAACTGTTAATTTATGAGAAAGGTTTATCTTCCTGAATATTCAACCAAAACCTAGAATAAGAGCTTGAATTACTTTGAAATGCCTCTTTGTTCCTACAATGTCTTTGATGTTTTATTCCTGGGGATTTTAGACTAACCTTTTGTTTTTCTCCCAGAGAGATTCAATGTGTATTTGATGCCATCTCCTAACTTAGATGTACATGGCGAATGTGCCTTGCAGATTACATATGAGCACATCTGTCTTTGGGACGTCCAGAATCCCAGAGTCAAACTCATCTCTTGGCCGCTAAGCGCCCTGCGGCGGTATGGACGAGATGCTGCTTGGTTCACTTTTGAGGCAGGGAGGTGAGTTTCATGACTGTTTTTCTACATTTTTTTCCCCAGGTTCACGTCATGTAATGCTCCACTCACATCAGCTGTTCACTCCATTATAAACAAAGCCCAATTATTTAAAATTCACTTTTCAGAAATATGATCAATTTGATGCTCTTACAACTATCCTAGAAAGTGTTTAAATTCTTCTTTTCCACACTGCTCTTCTTTGGTCTATTTAAATTTTAAGTCCCTGGAAATGGAAATGGTATAAACGCATTGGTGAATCTCCCAGAGACACAAAGGTTCTCAAGTTAGCAAATAAAACTTTAATCTTTAGTGCAGCATCCTCCTTATGTCAGAATTACTTACTTATTATCCTTATAGGAAAATCTTGATAGAAAATTAAGAATTTGTTTGGGAAGGTGGGTATATTTCCCTGCTTCGGTCTCAGAAATAATAATAATTATTATTATTGGCCACGCCGCGTGGCTTGTGGGATCTTAGTTCCCTGACCAGGGATTGAACCATGCCCTCGGCTGTGAAAGTGCGGAGTCCTAACCAATGGACCGCCAGGGAATTCCCTCAGAAATTATTTATGTATTGACTGTAACCAGTGAAACCTGGTTATGAAAGCTGTTTTATCATAGAAAATAGACTTTTCTATTGACTGTACACCTCTTATTTCATATTGATGTGCAGAAGAATTCTGCATTGATCAAGATGTTTGGGGCCCATTTGGGGCAGCATTTATTCCAACATTCGTATTTTTCAGCTTTTCTTTGATGCACTCTATTTATAGGAAATAATAATAGGAAATGGGTATGTATGGCTTTTTATTGTCACTTCCAAAGGCTAAAAATTTAGTAAACCTTTGTAGTATCTCATGACTATTTGAAACTTTTTTTTTTTTTTGCGGTACGCAGGCCTCTCACTGTTGTGGCCTCTCCCGTGGCGGAGCACAGGCTCCGGACGCTCAGGCTCAGCGGCCATGGCTCACGGGCCCAGCCGCTCCGCGGCATGTGGGATCTTCCTGGATCGGGGCACGAACCCGTGTCCCCTGCATCGGCAGGCGGACTCCCAACCACTGCGCCACCAGGGAAGCCCTACTTGAAACTGTTTAAAAATTATCTCGACCTTCCAGGTTTTAATACTGCTCATAGCTTGCAAAAGTTTTAACTTTTTCATATTGACATTTAGTAGAACTGCTAAGGATCTAGGAGATTATTTTAAAGATTTTGATATTTCCCCCAAGTGTGATAGCGAACCATATAGATTTTTAAGTAGGTGTTTGTGTATAATCGTGTTCATATTTTGTAAATAATAGGATAGAGGTAGCAGATGTGGATGTGGGGAGATATTGAAGGACCTCAAGTGAAAGAAACGGTAGAAGAAAAGTAAGGCTGTATTGGGGACATGAAGTTCAGAAATATTCCTCTTTGACCAAAAGCCATAAAGTGCTGACTCGGGAAATGAAGGAGCTTTTTGGTTCATGACTTTGGTCTCTTTATGGTCTGACTTTTGGCTATTTTGTCCAAGAACTCCAGTGGTTAGACGATTGTAGTACGTACAACCCATACCACACAGTGTTGTGCCTCAGATATGGTAGGGACTTAGAATATTTATTGATTTTGAGCAGCATTCTTGTTCAGTGGTCATGCTTTATGGGGCTGGTGCAAACCTGAGACTGAACGAACAATCGAAAGGACAAGTATCGGGAATGTATTCTTAGGACCTCGCTCATTTCTCAAACAGTGCGGTTCGTAGTGTAAGGAGCACTGATTTGGGAGTCAGAGAGACCCTAGGTCCTGATCGCTATTCTTTATTAGCTGTTGGCCACGGACAAAGTGTTTAACTTCCCTTGTAAGTTTATTTAAGTAATAACTTCCTTCTGGGGTGGTCTTAGGTAAAAGCAGCAATGCATATAGATGACCCAGAAGGTGCTGGGCTTCTCTTAATAGTCTCTTTGAGGTTTTATCATAATAACTTTTGGAACAGGACTGGGTTTGCAGGATCCAGACAGTGTTAAATGCAAGATAATCAATACTATTTTATATTTTGCCTGAAACTCAAAGATGAATTTTTATAGTTACCATCAAGGTGCTCAGGATATAAGATCATTCATGTTCCCCCAAGTGTGAAGGTTTCACATCTGCCTCACTTTATTAGTGAAGATAATCCTTTCCCTTGGCTATTTTTGGATGTGTTCAAAATAAGGCAGTGTCATATTAACTAAGATAATTTTCTCCCTGTCTCACGTTGATAGATGAACAGGAGTTAAGTCTCTCTAGGCAGATAGTTTTCACATATCCAGCACGCGTCTGCAAAAACATCACAACGTTTCCCCTCTAGAATGCAGAGAATCTTCCTAAGACCTTGGGCAAAGTTCTGCGCTGTCTAGGCAAAGCCTCTGTTAAACTTGGAGCTAAGTGTTATTCCTACTGAATGGCCCATTTCGCCGCACCAAGATTGACAATGGGGCACGCGTGATAAGCTGGGCTGGGAGGTGGAGAAAACAAAATGAAATTATAGTCAATCACATACTGGCTGTGGGACCTTGAGTGAATGACCTAACTCTCTGAGCTTCCATTGGCCACCTGTAAAATGGATATAATTTATGTCTCTCAGATGGCCATGAAGACTAAATAAAGGTACATATACAAACACCTGGCATAATGCCTGGCAGGTAGTAGGCAGTTGTGTCAACACAAACTGACACAAGCAGAGAAGAAATTTGTTGGCCTTCAGAACCCAAAGTCCAGGGAGCAGAGATGGCTTCAGGGTTGGGTTGATTCACAGACAAAATGAGGACCCTAGGTTTTATCTCATAGTCTTGTTTCTTCTAGGTGGCTTCACTCTGCTCCACACGGGGCTTCCAGGAGCTTTGAGGTCTTCTCACACCGTCAGCCAATAGAAGAGAGATAGATTCTTACCATACATTGACCATTCCATTCACTATGTGTCAGGAACTGCACTGAGGACTTTATGGAAAGCACACAGGGTACAGATAGAATGGGCGTGGTTCTCCCAAAGCAGGAAGAGGTTACTGACACCATCAGAAGGGATGTGAGGTTTAAAAAAAAAACTAACAGAATGTGTCCAATACAGTATTTAATAATTTCTGAAAGCAACTAGGGTGAAGCAGCTATTTGACTGTAATTAATAATATCACTCATAACGGTGCTGAGATGCAGAACAGTGGTTCTCAACCAGGGGTGATTTTGCACCTAAGGGACATTTGGCAAAGTCTGGAGACATTTTTAGTTGTCACAATGTGTGCTGCACAAACAAGCCCCACAACAAAGAATTATCAGGTCCAGTTATCCAGGTGAAAAACTCTGCTCTAGCAAGCATATCAACCATTGAAAATAAATACTGATATTTATTGAGCCCTTACTATACAAAAGTTGCTGTACTAAGCATTTTACATGCACTGTCTCATTTAAGCCATTTGCTCGTCATATAAACCAGGGGATATTATTGTGCTCATCCTAAGGGGAGACTTGGGTGTCTGTGTGACTGATCCAAAGGCATGAGACCAGTAAGTAAATGGTGGATTCAGGAACACACTCAGCTCTTCTTACTTCCAAACCCTATAGATTTCTTAGAAGGCTGACTATCACCACTCTACTAGGTTAGCCTAGTTCTGAGTGAACTCTCCAGAGCTAAGGAAGAGAAGGCATACTGCATAACCAGCACTCATGTATAAATTATCTTAGTTTACTTTAATTCTGGAACCTCCTATTTGTTCTTTTTGTTTGGAGTGCAGGCACCTACAGTCAGAATTGTTCATCTCTCCTGGGCGGCAGTATCATGATCAAAGGTCATTAGAGTCTTCTAGGCGCTGTTTCTCCCTCTCTTCCCCAATATAGACAATTCTGACCATACCTCTGTTTTTTCCTTGAAGAATTCCATAGTTGAAATATAATCTTTTTAATAAAGTGCAGTTGCACAATTAATTGCCACTTATTGCCCCTGGAGATAAAGAACAATTAGCTTATCTGGGGGGAGGGATGGGGGAAGAGACACATTGCTTATTTTATTTGAGTTTTTCCTAGTTTTTTTCGTTTGTTTCTTTCTTTCCACTTGGAATGCCTTGAGGCTTCAGTGAAGCTCATCAGATTGGCAGGGTCTCTGATATTTTCATGGAAATGTCCAGTTGACATGAAGTTTTAACTGCGGCAACATCCGCCATGGAACTGTTCTTGAAACGTTACTGTTTAAAGCATGGTGGCAGGTGTCCAGTAAGTTTCCCTGTGAATTTCACAGCTGGCTGCCCAGTTCACTGCTTGCTTCAGTGTCAGGTTCTGTCCTACCTCCTGACCGATTTAAATGACTACCTTCGGTTTAGCACCTGCAGGGCTGAGGGCAGCTCAGGTGACATTTGGCAGAAAGTGGTGAATAATTACCACACACGGGTGCCTCTCTTTACCAGCCAGAGAATGTCCCTCTCGTGCTTTTGACATCGTATTAAGAGAAACTTTTAGGTTTGCCAAGAATATGTGAAAATTGACATTACATATACAAATTCTTTTCCTTAAATGGAGTGCACAAATTGGTGAAAAAGGCTTTTTTTGGATGTAAAGACATCTGAACAGTCTTGGAAAAGAAATCATCTGTGTCTTGTGTATATCACTCTAAAAACAAGTCTAACTGGTGAAATAACTTTTCATTGGAGAAGAAAACTGTAGATGAGTGTACTGTAAAAGGACCATTATTCTCATATAAACCTTTGGATATTCTCTATTTGTCTTCTTGATTCTAAGCTACTTAGTAATCCCTCACTTCTAAATATTTTGTAGAGCATATATTCATTCTTACTAAAGGATTGAAAGCAAATTAACAAATAAAATGTACTTGGCGCTTCCTACTATGTTGAATAGAGAAATTTAAATACAAATGCGTTAGATCCCACACAGCCTAGCTCAGAGGAAGTGAAATTCTCTTCTCTTGAAAGAAAACAGAAACTACAGTTGTGCCATTTATATGGCCATTCATTCTTCATTAGCATCCATCTAAAAAATAATTTTAGA